ATCAAGACTTAATCTGTTACAAATATTGCTGAGACTGGCTGTTGGGATCTGCATTAAGAAGCCTAATGTGTACATCCAAAAGAAGAAGTTGGTTGGTTCAGACACTTTCACTATCCCATTGGCCATCAATGAAGGTTTTAATGATCCCTACTTTGTTGTTGTAGAGAAGTCTTTAATTTTATTTGATATTCTATTTACTATCACATTGTTATGCTAATTAGTAAAAATTAAGCGTCTTTCTTGAACTGTTTGTAATTTCAATTTTGGTTATATCTCTCAACGTACGAATTTCAGTTTTGTTTCAAATTTATTTTTTGTTCAGGGATATTTCCACTTTGAGGTTTCTCTTCAGCTGAAGTCGAAGCACACATTTTTCAAAATATTCTAACCAAAAGAAGTCTGGCACAAGTTTTACGTAGTTTAAGGAGACATTAACAGGCAGGCAGGCAGGCAGGCAAGTATGATCGCATCATCATACTTTGGTAAGTGAAACGAGAAGAAGCATCCAGTTGTTCATCACAAGTTTCAAACAATATATGAGGAGTTTTAGTGAGCTGACTTTCAGTGTAATACTGGTTAAATATATCTATTAAGAATTTTAAAGGATTTATTAAAGAACAAAGAATATTCATTCTTCTCGATAAATTCCCTTTCAAAATGCTCTACAGTTATATGCATCCATAATAATTAAAGAATATGGATAAGTTAAGAAGACGGTTGTACTGGGGAGAAAATCTGAAACACACACACAGATATAGTCAACTGCGTACTTCGAAGTCGGAGGAGTTGTGTGTGTGTATGGATTTACTAACAACACCTATTTTGTTTGCTTGTAATAAATGCCTTTGAGGAGAGAAACGTTTGCAATACTTATAATTTTATAGTCCCTCTCTCTCTCTGTGTCTCGATATACATATATTGAATCAATAAAAATATTTTCCCAATGAACCCTCCCCTACACACTCCCGTCTGTCACCTCTTAGAACGTAGAGGGAGACACATGACAACAAAGGCTACGCGGTTATGGATTCTTTCATCCCCAACTTTATGATACCGACGGTTCGAATATTTCATTCAAAATTGTGTAGTCCTTATTTGGTAGAAGTGGGTTATCAAGTCACAGATTTCTAAGCGTACGTTAATGTTAGCAACGTTGGCGACGGGAGTCATTGTACAGGTCAGAGATTTGATCGACAACCTCCTGGAATATCATCCGTACGAAAAGCTGTAGGCGGCAGTAATACAGAGAATGAATATCTCCAATGAGCACCGATTTTAGCAATAACCCCGAGGACGCGATTTAGGAACCTGCTGCCAGTCTCTAAGCTAGGAGTCAATGTAGTTCAGTCACTTCTGTAGAATCATCTTACATTTGATAGAAGGAGCGAATGGCGTACCAAATATTCTAGGATTATTGCCCAAGGTGTTCAGAAGACTCTGCATTTTGTCAGCTTCCTGACCTAGAAGGACTATATCGTCTGCATATTCTAAGTCAACAAGATTATCCCCTGGCGGTAACAAGTCAATCCCTTAGTCGCTCAAGTCAGTTAGGTTTAAGTCCATTAGTACATTTTTGATGGAATTAAACAGAAATGGGGACAGTAGACATTCCTGACGAACACTACTGGATGTCATCACAGTTGTCAGATGACAACTCTACATAGGCTCTCACCTGGCTGGCTGTATGCGTTCCAGTAGATTTGCTTTGATTGGTACGATGTATTTTCCCGTCACTCCCTTCACAGCCAAACCTCACCATAGTACCTCTGGGTGTAAAGAGTCGAATTCCACCTTCAGCTAAAGAAATATGTTAGTTGCTGGACGCCGGTAAGAATGCCTATGTTCAAGAATCTGTCGAAGAGTGAAGATAAGATGAAGTCACTCTCTTCATGGTCTAAAGCCTTTCTGGTTCTCTCATCTTTGTATTCCCCGAGAATCGCTCAATCTAAGAACGATTATTGAGCTTAAAACTTTAGATAACATATTTGTCAAGCTATTCCCCCTGTGGTTATCACAGGAAGACTTGTCTCTCTTCTTGTATATCGGGATAATGAGTGACTTACACCAGGTCGACAGGACTTCCTCTGATTCCCAGACGCTGTCTAATACCTTAGTTAACGGAGACAGTAAACTGTCTGCACCATCCTTAAACACCTCTGGAGTTATTCCATCCGGTTCTGCTGCCTTGCCTAGTTTCAGACTAGTGATAGCTTTAGTAACCTCAGCTAAGGACGGAGGACCTGTGTCTATATCCCATTCAGGGAGGTGTTTAATGTTCGGTAGGTTGAGCGTGGCTGTAGGCCAATTAAACTGCTACTCATAGTGTTCTTTCCAATGTCCCTGAGAGCTTATTATGGTGCTATTTTTCTCAAAAATTGTTTCACTTATCATTTGCAAAATTGCAAAGACTTAGAAGTGCAACATAGTAAGTAGGTGATGATGTCATTCAAGACAGCAAAGGCTTGTCATTCACAAAGCAGAGGTGCATTCACTTACATCTAATCACAAAACAGAGTTGGTGGAACAGGCTGAGAGTATTAAAAGATGATATAGTTAGTCAGGTGGAGTGAGCGAGTGCGAGAGACAGAGAGAGGGTAATCACTGAAGCTTTCTTTATTGATTCAACACCGAATACCTGCACCATTCGGAATGATGCAACGCAACGCAACACAACGCCACCGCCTTTACCGGAGATATGGAAACTGGCAACAAACAACACGCCGGTGGGAGTTGTTATCAGAGACAGAATAGAGAGAGGGAGAGAGAGAGAAAATATACGTTTAATACAAATGGTGAAACCGTGTGCGACTACAATTGATTGGTGTGACTATGAGTGTCAATAATTTATGCTGGACAGCTTGTCTGTCTGTCATCCAGTTGTTGATACTGCGTCATCATCATTGTGTGTGTGATATTGAAAATAATTTTATCTAATATGGAAGCACACATTCTACCATACTGCCGAAGTCCTACATTTACATTTAAGCTAACAAAGAGCATAACACACACACACACAAACAAACAAACAAAGGAAGGAAGGAAGGCAAAAGTACATTCCAAAGCTCATACTTTTATATTTGTTGGGTTTTTTAGTTGGTATTTTAGAAGAGGTATCATTTGAATAATTGAAAAGATGCACAATTCAGGTTCCAGGTGGTATATTAAGTAAGGAAGGAAGGAAGGAAAGAAGAAAGGAAGAATTGTGGTCATCATCATCGTCGTCGTAATGGTAGTTAGTAGTAGTCGTATTAATGAAACACACACGAAACAAGTTAGAGAGAGAGAGAGAGAGACAGAAAGAACTTGCTGTATATCCCAATATAGGAATGCATAGGTATGCTAGCCTGAGTAAATTGCACAAATACGCCTCATTCCATATACATGTATATATATATATATATATGTACTTCAGTTTTTGAGTCTTGGTTTTGTGTGACAACAAAAGGGATCCAGTGATAGGGAATTTGTAAAAGAAAAAAAACAACACTGTTTGTTCGTTTGTTTCTTTCTTTCTTTCTTCCTTAATCAATTTCACTGTTTAAAAACATTAATAGTAATAGTAATAATAATAATATGAGAAGTAGGAACAGGTACATGGAAGGAAGTAAGAGATTCACTTGCCATTCAAGAGGAGGTATCCACGGGCGGGTCCGAAAGAGTGGCTAGTTGGGCCGGAGCGAGGGACTGACACACTCAGAATTATTGGGACTGACTCAACGCTGAGTGCACAATAATAATAATAATAATAGCAGTAAAGTTATCGTCATCAGGGTAAAATATGAGATACACGAGGTGGTGTCAACATCAGCGACAGCCACCATCATCGTCATAATAATATTAATAATAATAATAATAACGATGCGGACAAGGTAAAAAATCAGTGCACAGAGGTCGACAATCATAATAACAATAATAATAATAATTGTTTGTAATAAGAAGAGAGAGGAATATTGATAAAATTGATTAAAAGAAGTCACATACATATTATTATTATTATTATCAGTGATACCTTTAAAAATTCTATGAAAAACTGTGAGGTAAAAACTAATAATGCCAGAGTGAAGAGAACAAGGATACAGAGAAACCGCGTGCAGTGATAACTATTGTTAACAAAGAAAAACAGGTGGTATCCGATTAAAACGAAAAAAAAGACTTTCTTACTACACCTCCACCGTGATTATCTTTTCTCTCTTTCCCTCTCTCTCTCTCGATATGCATTGCATCATCAAAGCATATCAGAAAGCGACTGAGTGAGTGAGTGAGTGAATGAACGAGAACAACAAGGAATAAAAATGGAGTAGGTGGACGTGTGTCCAAATGAAATAAAAAGTTAATCTAATCATTGCGATTACTAATTGTCTTTCAGCGTCAAGGCACACTGTGTGTATTAAATAATATGTTACTACTACTATAATGATTATTAGTAATATTAATAATACATAAATAAATAAGTAAATATATAAATATGAACACTACAAAAGAGACGACATACATCTTGGTGATAGATTCGTGCGAAGAGGAAGATGAAGAAGGAGAGGGGGAAGGAGGTAAAGCAAAGGCGCACATCACTCACACAACCAAGGCATGCGCTGACCACCTATCAACTGTCACTAATACTACTACTACTACTACTATTAATAATAATAATAAAAATAATAATAATAAACGATATCACTAATATCCCTACACAACTGGATGAGAGGCATTCTCAAAATTGAATATATATATATATATATATATAACACAAGAAAGGCCAGAAGAAAGCACAGATTAAGAACACAGCATAATACACCAAAAAGTGGCACACGAGGAACACTTAGCTGTCTGTCTGTTTGACAAACTAGACTTCCGTAGGAGCAGCAGCAGACAGTGTACTCTATACACATTCAGGAATACAGGAATGTTGAGTAGGCGGGGTTATTATTACTCTCTTTTTTCTTCTTGAAACAGAACAATGTGGGTGAGTGGGTGAGCGAGTTAGTGAGTAAAAATAGAATTTGTCAAGTATTAGATAATGAAGTATCTACACTAGATCTGTTGATCACGGACTGTGAATCACTGATTACCGATAGACTGACACCAGCACCACCACCACCACCACCACCACTAGAACCAATTTGTGATGAAGATAAGCTCGTGTTGTTGTTGTTGTTGTTCGTGAAACAGGATACAACTGCAGCGATTGCATTCGCGTGTTCTGCACCAAGTTCTGATATCGGTGTAGCTAGAAGACTTTTACGCAAGGTTTGAATTGCAGTGTAAATCTTGACAGCAGGACCTAATTTCATGCCGAGTACATTCATTAGATCGTGTTGTTCAAGACAGAGTAGGGCAGCTCCATCAATTTCCTAAATGTGTAAATAAATAAAAACAACCATACAAAAATATGTTTAAGCGAATTGACAATCTTCATTGAGTTATATAAACGAAAAAAGGCGTTCAGCGATATCAAATTCTCATGCTGTACAATCGCAAATATACATGTGTCGTGTAAATTATCTTACTAGAGAGCGTCTCTACTTGAATCCACAACCCAGCGGAGACTCATCATCAGAAGTACTGAGAAACCACTGATTGTTTCACTCAATGAAGAAAACCTTCCAATAACTAACGATTCGTATGAGTGTGTGAAGCATAAACTACCACTGGTAGCCAATGTGCATCTAACAAATGACCTGCTCCACCCCCGTGGAGCTAGTTATGTCAGTTGTAATCACTGTTCGCCATCCAAAATGTATCATTGAACACTTAACTAGAGTTATGGTTTTACAAAGGAGAAAAAGAATCCCTCACACCACTCCAGCTCTGTCCTGAAACACCTGATCGAAGCATCTGGACACCACCAAGCTAACCCATCCACAAACCAACTCCAAAGTCACCCAAAGAATACATGGAAATTCCGCAAAAACAGGCCTATAAGTTTTCAAGTTTCATAGCTAACAAAATGGTTGCATCTATAGATAAACAACGACCTACTCTTCTCCCATTTATTTATATATTTACAACAAAAATTTTAAAAAATTAGTAATGAAACACACCTTTATCCCTAGCCTAACCACAATCCTAACCTAAATATTAATTCTAACAATAACGGCTTACTATCAACCCATTCATTGTTCAAACACCACTTAACAACGAGATCAGGATGAAATCTGAACATCATTTCATGCATAGCGCTTATACTGCCGGTGTAATAACGTCAGGTTCTACAATCCAAAGAAAAGGACATGAGTTCAATGTCACTGATGCATTCGTACTCCGTGGTAGCCATCCATCCTTTGGATTCGCAACCACCTCCATCTCTATCTAGTAGTAGTCATCAATGAGTTGAGTGTTGGAGAATGATATTTAGGTTATGAGATTTGTGTAGAATTGAGATTAATTATATTTTCACTTGTGAGATCTCATTGGTGTACATGGGTGCTGAAGTCTAGTGAACAGCTGCCCCCACCCCCCCATCCCAAATACTCTATGGTGTTCTCAATCAGATCTTACACTCTAACTAATCTGTGTTGGTTCATAATGAAATCTGACAAGTGAAACTGAGAATTCCATATTGATTTGTGTGTTGGATATCACACACACACACAAAGTGGAACAGTATTATTTCGAGGGGCAGAACTTTAACCAACACACATTAAATAGTAATATTAAGGAAAATCTCAGACAGGAAGTGAGGCATTTAAGAGAGGCTTCACAACTTAATTTATAATTATCCTGATGAGTTAGTTAATCAGGAATTATGTAGGAAAAATGTAAAAATAAAATTATTAATAATAATAGTAGTGATAGCGATAACAATAATAATATTGATAATATTAATGTCTTATACAGAATGATGACAACTCCAGCAGTAGGGAATTTAAATCATACAAAGAAGGGACGTCGGAGACCACACAGCGTGGAGAATTCTTAACATCGCAGCCGGAAGGAATAAAAAGTGGCTGACATTCAAACTACGCACAAACTCAATTAGAAATAAAAACTTTTTCAATTAAAGGATCCTGTCTATGGAAGCCCATTAAACAAAACAATTTAGTTTATCTAATCCCCTGCCTGCAATGATTATCAGGTCAAGTACATGGGTGAAAGCAGTAGAACAGGTGGCAGTCAGACTAGCAGAGCATAAAAACGTAGCAGTAAAATCTAGATTAGTTGACCTGAATAAGTTATTAAAAGAAATCTAGAGTATAGTTCACCTATACCACTCACTACATGCAATTACACACACACACACAACCATACAATAGGATGGGATAAGATAACAGTTTTAAAATCTAATATAACAGGGCGGAAGAAGAGACTGATAACTGACTGAGGCTTTATTTATCGAATCAACTGGGAGGGAATACGTGAAATAGGATGTGTAATTGAACATCTTTCCAACCAGACATTTGCGAAATTATACTACTGTTCCCGTCCTACGACGACGAATAGGAAGGAATAAACAAAAAACCATAAAACGAAAGTTTCAGAGTTGTGCAGTTATAAATAATTGATATAATTATGAACACAATAAATAAAGGAACTGTGTTCGAAAGGCATCGTCATCCACTAATCAATAAAATACTGTTTCACTCCGTATGTGTCTGTGTGTGATATCTAATAAACAAATTAAATAGGGAACTGCACATATACATCTGTTGTTTCTGCTTTTTGTTTTAAAGTCAAAGTATTACCAAAATAAAAAATAATAAATAAGACAATTGCAGCGAAGAAAATTTTCTTTTCGACCAAGTCATCGTCAACTAGGTAGCTGTACATTCGTGTATTTATATCAGATGGATGGGAAAGTTCCAAAATAATTTCAGGTTAAGGGTCAAATTAATAATACTTAAAATTAGGAATTAGTATGCCATAATAAACAGGGGATGGATAAAACAAACACAGTAGCATCATGATAGCTAAGAAGATTGACATTGTGCAATTAGGGGTTAGAAATGTAGAAATAACAAAATGAACAGGATGTTTGGATAAAAAACTAATGTGATGAATAATTGTTTATGCAATCAGGGATTAAATATGTAGAAATAGTAAAATGACAAAATAAACACGAAGTTAGGGTATGAAAATATGGTAGTGTAAACAGGGATTAAGAAAAAACTTCAAATAACATGAATAAACAGGAAGTTTGGATAAGAAAGGCGATAGGATGGTCATTGCTAAAAAATTACTTGTTTATAATGGCCATGGCAGGGACAGGGGTTGGACGTATTTCTTTTGGATACAAAGCGTGAGTTTGAGCTTTTGGATAGCTAGCGCCTTGGCCATGCCAAGATGTCTTGATTTCACTCCCTTTGATAGGTTTGACTGAATCTTGTATATTACTTTGAAGGATTTTTCAAAAGGCGCTGAATGTCTTGAATTAACCAGATGTTCTGTCACTGAACTGTAAACACGCTTTTGGTCTTCTTTTACTAAACAAGCTGGGCAGTGTTCACGAGCGCGTTTTTCAAGTCGGCGCCTGGTACGGCCAACATACTCAGCTCCACAAGAGTAAGTAAACTGGTATATGCACGTTGAGGTGGCCCAATGCGACAGCTTGTCTTTCGCGTTCTGGCTGAACAGTTTATTTCAGGAAAACGTCAGTCGTAGGCTCATGGCGAAGTATATTTTCCTCAGCGATTTTGAGAGGCGTTTGCGAAGGATTTCTGCGTCAATATCACCTTTGAATTCTAGATTAAGCAGAAGTATTTTCTTTGGAACGGATTGGACTTGTTCGGAAGTCTTCTTAGGTTTGAGATTCTTGTCTATGAACCTGAGCGGGAAACCGTTTTCCATCAGGGTTTTTCGAAGATTACGCAGTTCTTCTTCAACCACTTCTTCGCTCTATGTCTTCCGACTCCTCGAGGAAAGAGCGTACGTATATCAGGTTCCTCTTTCTGCTTAGGGGCACGAAGTTTTGAAAGTTGATGAATTGTCCATTCCATGTAGGCTTTTTGTATATGAACCTTTTCAGAGAGATTTGTTGGTGTTTCTTGTCAGATGAACGTTGAGGAATTGGAACATTCCGTCGGATTCAGTCTCGAGTGTAAAGTCGATGTTTCAGTGGGCATTATTGAAGATTTGAAGTAGGTTTTTTAAAATAAATAATTAAAATTTAAAAAATAAATAATTTAAAAATGATGCTTTAATGCAACTGTGATAAATGCGTGAAGAGAAGCATCAAGCATATCAGCTCTCACCAACACATACACACACAAATACATACACACACACGCAACTACACACGCACACATACATATATATAGATAGATATACATACATACATACCAAAAATGAATGCCATGGCATTTCTTGATTATTTAATTTCAAGAAAAGAAAATAATTATTCATCTTGACAAGTAAGTAAAACAAAAAAGAAACAACACGGAAAAATGGAATAAAAATCATGAAAAAAAGGAGAGAAGTAGTTTTATTTTGTCAGTGAAAGTACAAAAAAGTTCAGTTTTACCCCTTGTCGTTTTGCCAGACTTCTTATACATCAAATTTTACTCTTTTTTGCGATTTCTTGAGTTATGTTCATCATATTTTATTATGCCTTGTTAAGCGATTGCTAAATAATGTACCAGGCTGCTTAGGTAGTGTAATTGTAACAGACACGAAGACCATGTATATTTCCAAGTGATCAAACCGCCATATATATATATATATATATATATATATATATATATATTGTTTAGCCAGTCACTGAACGACAGACAACGGGCAATGAGGAAACAGGCATAAAATGGACTCACACAAAAAAGTACTTGGAGGATCTGGATTTCGCCCGCGATAATATATGTCTGATTTAACACAAACTGGAAGATATGCAAGTGATGAAAAGTAACAAGTTGGCAGAAGAAGCATGCAGTGAAGATAGGACTTCATGTGAACATAGAGAAAACAGATGCGGTGATGAAGATTCCTGGCCAACACCAACAGCAACAACAACAACAGACAACAATCAGCTAGCATAAATGGGAGGAACCTGAAAGAAACAACCTTCTTCAATTGCCTATCTACCTACCTGGAAAGCATCGTCTCAACTACAGGCCGATGGAACTGACGAGGATATCAAAGCAGCGAGGAGCGGAAAAGCAAGACAAGTTTTCATTACTCTCAAGTCTGTGCGGAGGTCAACAGCACTCAGCATGAAACTGAGAATAAGATCCCGATTTTCAACTCCAATGTGAAATCAGTCAGTGCTACTCACTATACGGATCAGAGACCTGGCCAGAGCGTCACAAAGAGCATCTCAAACAAACTACAGACCTTCGTTAACAGTTGTATTCTTCGCTCAGTACCACTGAAGATCAGATGGTCAGCCGGTCGACCAGAAAAGATCAGCAGCAGGTAGGGATCT